ATGTTCTCAAACCTTATAATTAGACACACAGCTAACAAGTATAAGCATCACATATTTTCACACAGTCTATAAGTATAAACAATACATGCTTGTCACTTCCATGGCAAGCAAGGCCTACAGAGTGCAGGAAAAATTGTTCAGAGAAATCTCTGTTCCAGCGACAGGAGAGCGGGAGTGGGATTGCTGTGGGGGTGCCTCGGTGTCCCCGTGCCTTGATCCCTGGAGGGTGCGGGAGGCTGGAGAGAGGGGGGAGCTGTGAGAGCCCTGAGAGCCTGGAGAGGGGGGAGCTCAGGCCCCCTATGCCGGGGCAGCGGTCAGGGCCGTCCTGTTGGTGCCACATTGCCCCTGGTCAGGCTGAGCCCAGAGCCCGCCCACGTGTCAGGGGGCCTGATCTGCTCCCTGCTCTCGTTGCCCTGGGGCAGCCTCTGGTGTCCCCCCGCCCGTGGGGCTGTTTGGGTGCCTTGGGCACAGCTGGCCCTTGTGCAGGGCTGTGCCCTTGGGGGCTCTTGGCAGAGAGCAGATGTTTTTTGGGGATGCCGGGCTGGGTTAGGGGCAGAGCCCCAGCGGTGGGTGGGGGGATGCGGGTCCCCCCCACGGTGGGGGTTGGTGTTGCTGCGTCAGGCCCCGCTGGCTCCATTGTCAGCCCGGTGCCGGTGGGGGGGACACAGCGGGTTTGGGGCCCCCCCAGGAGTGCCGGGGGTGGGTGTGGAGCCCGGGAGCTGCCGAGTGTGGAGGGCAGAGTGGGGCGATGCCGGAGCTGGGGGACCCCCGGCAGCCTGGAGGGGGGAGCACGGAGAGAGAGGAGCCCTGGGACCCCTGGGAGCCTGAAATGGGGTGTGGAGAAGGGGAAGCCTGGACAGTGGGGACCCCTGGGATCCCTGGGACAACAGAGTGGAGAACCTGGAGAGAGGGAATGTCTGGGAATGCAGCACCCTGAAGGTGAGAGTCAGAGGAGAAGGAACCCTTGGGACCCCCAACAGTCCCAGCATCTGTAAGTGGGACCCCCAGCATCCCAGAGAGGGGAGAACCTCTGAATCCCAGAGGGGAGAGATCAGAGAGGGGGAACTTCTGGGAGAGTTTTGGAGTATTTTTTAGCTGAATCTCAAGGTTTTGCAGTTTGGGGGGACGGGGTCTTGCTATTTCTGAGGGGCTTTTTGCCTGAATCTGGGTGGTTTGGGTTTTTCTGGGCTGAATCTTGGTGTTTTGGAGGTTTTTATGGTCACAGGATGCCCGGTGAGTTCTAGAGATGGACTTGGGCAGGAGGAACCCCCAAGCCAACATGCTCACACCTTGTTTTTTCTCCCAATCCAGCATTTCTCCTTCCCAAACCTTGACCGAATGGTGGAGAAGGCTGCGAGGAAGAGGAAGATGCCCCAGGACCCCCAGGCAGGTGAGGAGGAAGTCAGTGCCCCTTTGCCCTGTCTTGTCCTGTATCTCCCAGCTGAGCATGGCCCCCGGCTGCAGGACAACCCCGCTGCCGCCGCCGTCCTGCCGGGGCCGGAGTTGGGGGGATGTCCTTGGCCTTCCCTGTGGGCCGGAGGCAAATCCCCTCCCTGTCCTTCTTCCTTCCTGCCCCAGGCCCCAAGCTGAGGACGGAGAGCCCGGAGGACAAATCCCCCCGGCAGAGCCTGGTGGGAGAGGCCGTTTTGAAGGGCTCCACGGCGCAGGAAGGCAGCGGGGAGGGAAAGCCACGAAGGTACCCCAGGAGGAGGGTCTCCAAAGCCAGCCCAGGGTGCTCTGAGGAGGAAAGAGCCAGCCTGTGCCAGGAAGGCGGCCAGAGCTTGAGCCAGAGTTCCAAACTGGTGGTCCTTGAGCAGCCTCCCAGCAGGGAGAAGCCCTTCAGGTGCTTAGAATGTGGGAAGAGCTTCAGCAAGAGAGACCACCTGATCCGACACCAGCACACCCACACTGGGGAATGGCGCTACAAGTGTGTGGAATGTGGGAAGAGCTTCAGGGACAGCACCGACCTGATCCGACACCAGCACATCCACACTGGGGAACGGCCCTACATGTGTAGGGAATGTGGGAAGAGCTTCAGGATCAACTCCCACCTCCATGCCCACCAGCTCATCCACACCGGGGAACGGCCCTACAAGTGCTTGGAATGTGGGAAGAGGTTTCAGACCAGCTCAGATGTCCTCAGGCATGAGCGGACACACACGGAGGAGAGGCCCTTCCGCTGCACCGACTGTGGGAAGAGCTTCAACCGCAACTCCACCCTCATCAGGCACCAACGCATCCACAGCGGGGAGAGGCCCTACAAGTGTGACGAGTGTGGGAAGAGCTTCACCAGGAGCTCTACCTTGACCTCACACCAACGGACCCACCAGTAAGGGAAGCCCTGCGAGTGCCCTGATTGCAGGAAGAGTGTCAGCTGCTGTTTCCACCCAGAATGAACCCCCTGATGGTGAGGCAGCCCCTGGAGTCCAGTGACTGTCAATCCATCCCCTTCTACCAGAAAGGGCCAGTCCCTTTCACAGGGGCAGCTTCTTCCAACAGAACCCTTCCTGGGGATGTGTGTGGAGATTCCTGCCTTGGCTGGGGACCCCCCCAAGGTCACTCCTGGAGCTTGAGAGCAGAGATCTCCCCACAAGCGTTGGTCTAGGGGAGTTCCATACATCTCTAATTAATAATTATTGCTTTTGTATCAGCTTTAGTAGAATTGCTTCAACAATTGCTTTAGTGTAGAGCACTGTCTTATCTCATCCTGTAGTACTGGTTGTTTTAGTGTCTCTGTTGTGCAGTAAATAATTCTGATGAAGATCTTTTGTCTGATCATTTGTAACCCTAAATAATTCATTTCTATCAATAGATCTGATTTGCCATCATTAAAACCTGGGGGACAAAAGTCATTCAGTCACACCTCTGTAATTCCTCTAAACTGAAACTGTTGGCATAATCCAAGGCTGAGATTGGATCCAGCAGCCCCCAGCACCCCACAGTAAGTTGGGAGCTCAGGGGGGCCATCCCCCTTTGCCAGCCCCCCTGTGCCCAAAGACCCCCATGGGACCGTTGGACCCGCCAGACCACCCCCCCTTTTCCACCCTTCTCCCTGTTCCTTCCACTTTTCCATGGTCCCCTCAATCCCCAACCCCCCCAGGATCACTTTTGGGGTCCCAACCCCCATTTTTTCTGCCTCTCCCACCCCTTCCACATCATCCCCCCACTCCCCAGCCCCCTCATGCTCAGTTTGAGGGTCCCACCCTCCCCTTTTCCCACTCTTCTGACCTCTCCCACCCATTTCCCATCATCCCCCAAACCTCAGTGTCCCTCCCCCTCCACTTTTGGGGGTTCCCACTCCCCTCCCACTCAGTTGGGGGTCCCACCACCCCTTTATCCCCTCTGACCCCCCTTTTCCCACCGTCCCCCCCTTCCCACCCCCCACTCACCCGAGAGCTCCTTGCCCACAGCCGGGGGGGCTCCCAGCACCACCAGTGCCCATAGAAGTCCCCTCAGAAGAAGAGTTGGGTGGGGTCCTGGGTGGGCTTTGAGTGTGTTTGGGGGTCCTTGGGGGGCTGTGAGGAGGTTTTGGGGAGGTCTCAGCACCTTTTGGTGTGAGCTGGGTGCCTATTGAGGGGCAGGTTCCCTCCCAAAGCCCCTCCAGAGTGGGTTGACACAGGGGGACACAGGGGGTCCCCATTCTCGATCTATCCCAGGACCGGTTCTGCCCCCCCCAAACTCGGCTCCACCCCTTGGGATTCCCCCAAGCCACTCCCCCAGTGCCCCCCAATAACCAGGACTGGGGAGAACTGGGAAGCTTTACTGGGATCACTGGGAGCAACTGGGTGGAGGCAGAGTGACAGCAGGGGAGGGGGGACACATGAGCCCCCCCAAAATCCTCAGGGAGTGGGGCAGGGTCCAGGTTGGGCCTGAGGCCCTGGGGAGGGGCTGCAGCCGCCGGCGGCTCAGGAGCTCTGTGGGGAGAGAAAAGGGGGTGACACCGGGGTGGGGGGACGGGGAACACCGAGATACACCGAGACCCGGACTGGATCCAGCGGGACCAGAAGTGGGGCAACTGGGATCATACTGGGAGCACCCGGCAGCATGCTGGAGGCAACTGGGAGTAGCTGGGAGTGACTGGAACCATAGCAGGAAATGTTCCCTCCCCATCCGGAGCTGAGCGGGGCCGGCCGGGGGGCACAGGGGAGCCGTGAGCCGCCTTCTCCTCGGGCGGCTGCTGGGAAGGAGCCAGCGCTGGGAGGACCCAATGGCCTCGGGCCGAGGCCGGGCAGATCCAGGTCAGAGATTGGAATAGTTGTTTTCACCGACAGGGTCATTGGGCACTGGAATAGGTCGCCCAGGTGGAGTCCCCATCCCTGGAGGTGTTCCAGAGGCATCTGGATCTGGTGATGAAGGACACGGTTCAGTGGTTTGGGGGTTCCTGGGGCAGTGCTGGGTGGACAGCTGGACTTCATGGAATGTGCTGAGTTGGGAGGGGCCCTTCAGCATCATTGAGTCCAGCTCCTGATTTCTATGCACCTATAAACAAATTGAATGGGGATCAAACTATTGGGCTTCAAAAGGTCTTCTACCCCTGCTCTACACTGCAAAGTAAAAAAAGAATGACCATGCAAAATACAGGCCTGTGTTCCCCACGAAGGGAAGGCAGGCAGTTATAAATGGGGACAATAAATGAAAGCTAAGAGCATATGTTCATGGTCACCACAGTTGTATGACACATAAACCCAGTCCTCTGTTCATTACTATGTAGAACTCTCATAAAGTAAAAACTTTCTGGTGTAAATATCAGTATCTTTGGATGTAATATTTGCATGCTGTCCTTCTGTGGGAACAAGTGGATTTAAAAGGCTGTAACACTTTCAGAGATCATCTTTATGCTTATGGGTTATATTTTTTAAAAAAATAGTGAAAAGCCATTTTTTACAGAAGGCAACACCAAAAGAACTCATATTTAGCAAAATATAAATTAGGATATTAATCAGGGCAAATGTACAATTGTAAATAAAAATCATTGCAACTCATCAACTATTTGCATACCAAAAGGATATGTTTGAAAATTCTGCCTTAGAAATAAATAAAATAAAATCTCTGAGGCAGTTTGTTACAACTGTTTCAAAGTTTCTAAGAAAAATTCACCATTCTTGAAATGCAAAGTCTGAAAAATGAAACAAGTGTACTATTGGAATTCTTGTTGCCAGCACTGATCTCTACAGAAGTTATTACAGAGTGTAACAAAAGCAGCAACAGAAATAACTTTTGGCATTATAGCACTGTCCTGCATTAATTGGTCCTGGCAACAGGGCTTTGCTTTTAAACCCAGCTGATAACAAAACCTTTCCAGAACTGTGAGATTATAATGTTGCTTTTCTTAAAAAGCTGTGAGTCCTTAATCCAGTATCTACAGATGAGACCCTGCAATATGGGAGTCTCCTGTTTCTGACAGTCAGTGGAGAGGAGGAATCAGGTATGCTGAGCAGGATGCAGGGCTTTGATTTCTACAAGTCTGTAATTTTTTATTATTTTTTTTAATGGTACTTATTAACCTTGGGTTTTATAAAATATATACATAATGGGAAAATACAGCAAAAGCTTCTGGTAATTACTTGGAGGAGTAACAAAGTAGTTTGGTTGGATTATTGCAGGAAGAAAAGTGACAGATGCCCACTTGAACAGGGCACAAGAGGCTGAGCAAGTTCTGGGTTGCCACAGATCTGCCAAAGGAAAAAATACATCCCAGTGTATAAACCATTCTGGATTGTCAGTATTCCATGGATAGATGGAGGGGAGTGGGAGAGGGGAACTTGGAACACCTCTGGGGAGGGAGGATGCCTGCACACATGGAGAACCTGTCAGGAGAAGGCATTGCTGGAGTCAGGGCTCCACCTCAGGGCATGAGGATGGTTAACGATTTATAGCTCTTGATGCAAATCTACACTGAGTTTATCCAGCCTGCAGGAATGTTGGCACAGTTCAGTGGTGGTCTGTAGCACACATCATGCACTTAGGAAATAATAAAGCTGTAATAACATATTCTTTCTGTTTCATTTGATACAAGAAAAAAGTCCAAATGTGTGTGTCAAATCAAAAGGGGGAAAAAAGCTTTTTTCCTCTTTAGATGACAAATACAGATTTACTTTATGGCAATTGGACAGGTAATGAACCTTTTTTTAAATTATGCTATTCAAACCTTTCTTAATATATTTTCTTATAATTCTGTAACAAATTTCCAGTTCAGGATAATGTAAAATATGTGTTTCATCATCTGAACATAGTCTAAATCAAAATCCAAAAATATCTATTTTTTGCAATTTTTTGCAGCTACATCTCTATAAAGTCCTGTGGAAGGATCAGAGAGTCTGTACAGGAATAAACCATAGGAAAAGTCTTCTGAGTAGAGGAAGGGAGAGAAAGGAAAGAGATGAGTTAGAAGGGAAAAGTATAAAAGGGAAAAGTTTCCCAAGCTTTTGCAAAACCAAAAAATGACAAATGTCTTGTGTGTGATTACAGCTTGTAGCTCCTGGAAATTAAGGATCTTATTTTATATTTTATATCAGCAGACCCCACTCATCCCTGAGGATGCACATGGCCAGGAAGAGACTGGAAGCAACAAGCCTGTTCCAGTAAGGCATTCCCAGGATCAAGTGGCAAAGCAGCAAGTGTTGGTGCCCAATCCAGGGCTCCCAGGATGCTACCATATGGGAAGACCTTCTGCATGGTGCTGGACAAGATCCTCCAATGGCAAAGAGAAGTGTTCCCATCCCCAGGCTCTCTCTCGATCCGGCTGTGGAGGAGCAGGATAAGGAATATCTCTGCACCTCCGTTGCTCCTGGCAGGAGCCTGCATCCTTCCCAGAGCCTCCATGGATAAGATGGAGGCTCTCTGTTCCCTTGGAGCAGTGGGTATCTGCAGACCTCACTAATCCAGTCACAGTGGGAGCCCAGCCCAATCCAGTCCATTAATGGATTCCCAGGGGCAGGTGGCACAGCAGCAAGTGTTCCAGAGCCACCAGTGCCAAAGGTAGGTGTTCCCAACTCCATGGTGCTATCTTGATCTGCCTGTGGAGGGGCAGGATAAGGAACACCTCCAGAACTGGCAAGAGCCTCCATGCCTCCCAGGGTCTCTGTAAGAATTCACAGAATCCACATGGAAGAGCCCCCCTGGATAGGTCACCCAGGTCTCTTGGAGCCGAGGGGATCAGCAGACTCCGCTAATCCCTGAGGATGCACATGGCTGGGAAAAGCCTGGAAGTAACAAGCCCATTCCAGTAAGATGTTCCCAGGAGCAAGTGGCACACAAGGAAAAGTCCTGGAGCTTCCAGTGCCTGATCTAAGGCTCCCAGGATGCCGCGATGGTGCTGTAGGAGAAGACCCTCTGTGTGGTCCTGGCAAGATCCTCCAGTGCCAAAGGCAGCTGTTCCCATCTCCAGGGCACTCTCTCGATCTGGCTGTGGAGGACCAGGAGGACAAATATCTCTGCACCTCCATTAGTTCTGGCAGGAGCCTCCATCCTTCCCAGAGCCTGTGTGGGAACTGCCTGAATCCCCAGGGATGAGCCCCAAGGACAGGTCTCCCAGGTGTTCCCAACTCCAGGGTGCTCTATTGATCTGGGATTGCAGGAGCAGGATAAGGAAAATCTCTGCACCTCCATTAGTTTGGGCAAGAGCCTCCATCCCTCCCAGAGCCTCCCTGAGCCCTGACACACTCCAGACCAAGGAAACCCTGTGGACAGGACTCCCTCTACCCTTGGGGCCAGCAGGCCCTGCTGATCCCTGAGGATGCCCATGACCAGGAAGAGCCTGGAAGTCATGAGCCCTTTCCAGGCTCCCAAGTGAGGCGTTCCCAGGAGCAAGTGGCAGGGCAGAATATTTCCTGGAGGAGCC